CACACACACACACACACACACACACACACACACACACACACACACACCCCAGGCACAGTGGTGCACGCCTGTCATCCCAGCTACTGAGGAGCCTGATGTGGGAGAATCTGGAGCCTGGGAGGTCAAGGACACAGCAAGCCATGATTGCACCACTGCACTCCAGCCTGAGTGACAGAGGAGACCCTATCTTAAGCTTATAACTTTTGACTGTCGAGATAGGTCTTATTTGTATAATTCTTTTAAATCAGGCAGGTAATGATTGCAAACTGTTTAAAATGTATTAAAGTTGTTTCAGAGATTAAACATTTTTTAAGTTATTAAAATGAGATTTTCTAATTATTAAAATATGCTATTTTTAAAAATTAGTCTACTCCTCAGTAGACTTAGACATTTTTGTAAAGAATGGAAATGGCAAATAATTTTTTTCTTTCCTTCTTAAGTTAATGATCAATCCAGAGGGACCACAGGGGACTTCCTGATGGTTCTACAAGGCTCAGTGTTCAACCAAAAGAGGCAAAAGCATGTAAGTCACATGTGGGCAAAGCCAACCAAACCCACCAGGTCCTGTTAGTTTAACAAAGAGCATTTACATTATGATAGCAAGTTTCAACACATTCATCAACAAGGCAGTCTTCAAATCAGGGAGTCAACCCCCAGAGTTTAAAAAGTAGAGCCCTGAGGCAGAGCTGCTCGGTTGTGCCCTCTAATGCGGCTAATGCCCTCTAATCCCCAGAAAAGGGGCGGATTTAAGCCAGAGCCAGAATCCTGGCAATTCACCAGTTTCTCATCACAGCTGAAAATGTAGCTGCATCCCACACAGCTCTGAGGGGGAGGCCTCGGAGGGGTAAGCCTCAGGTTTGGGAGTCCCAGACCCGGGATGCAAGCCCCAGCTCCAAGCCCGTGGCTGTGTCCTTGAAAGGGCTGCTTTCTCCCCTCACCTGCAAAGGAGAATTCCACAAACTATCTAGGCCTCTTTCATTGGTTTTCATTTTTCTTTCCATGTTTTATTACAAAGCAAAATCAAGAGTTTTTATTAAAATAAAAAAAAAAAAGTTCATTCCTGCAGGCTTATTTCCCTTAATTCCCTAAGAAGCCTTCCTACAAGGAAGGCACAAACATGCAAGAGGAGTTAACGGCCCTGCCTGTATGAGGGGCTTTCTGGTTCCTATTCTAAAAGGGAAATTCTGACATGTGAGGTTTGGCTTCTAGGTTAATGGGCAGATGGAGGGCAGCCCGCATCACCAAGAGCCGCCCACAGCACCAGCTCTATCCTAAGCACCACCGCTTTAACCCGTCAGATGCCACACAGAGCTCCACTACAGACTCAACAGAGCAGGTGGAGGAACGGAGGGCAGGCAGCGCTGGCCACAGGCTCTGCCAGGGTCCACACTCCCAAAAGCGCAGCAGTGCTTCTGGGGACAGAAATGTGTCCAGACATGAAAACCCTCCATGCAAAACCTGCCTGGAGGGTCCCTCCCGCCACAAGCACCCCACAAAGCCTCACGTGTGGGACAACATCCAAATGACACATTGTCATCTTTCCTTGTGAACTGATTTCTCCAATTCAGAAAACAACTTTGTCTAGAATTTGAGGATCAGAGAGGATTTCAATCCCAGCCTAACAAGGGCAGGCTCAATCATAAACCCATTCGCAAACTCTCTCGTTAGAAAATTCAGTAAGGGAAGTTCAGTTGGGCTCAAGAATCTTACTTGACTTCCTAAAATACACTAATAAAATCAGATTAGGAATGGCCATCAATCCCTTTGCATGAACAAGATCTCTTGAGTATCCCCCGCCGTCTGGCCAGAAACCACTGGAAAATAGAAATATGCTGCACTGTCACCCCAACTTACCTGGAGTCAATGGTGCCAATGACTATCAGAATTTAAGAGGATAAATTCATATAGGACAGTGGCAACTCCCCAAAAACTCTCAACACTCACCCTGACTCAGACCAGGATGGCTCAACAAAGGATGAACGTCACTGATGTCTTATGTCCTGCAGGAGTCAAAGGGAAAGGGGGTCTCCCTAAAATGCACTAACCAAATAACATTATCAGAGCAATGGCCTCTGGGCCAGAGCAGTGTTTCCCAAACTGGAGGTAGCCATTTGTGTTAAAAGTTGTGCATTCCGCACATATTGAAATTTAAAATGCTTAATTAAGAAAACCCACTGGTGGTGTTTTTCTTGTATACCAATAATTAAGCCACTACTGTTGGCACTGTTTGGTTTTCTATTTTAACACTGAAGGAGTGAAAGTACTTCCCATATTTATGAATTTACTACTAAAATCTTGGCAAAAAAAGAAAAAAAATGGTCTAAAATGTGTGGGTAAAAACTGTTAATCAAGTGTGTTTCTAGCCCCCCCAACTCCACCCCCGAAAGTTGGACACCAACTGTATACCCTAAGTTGCTTAAGGGGATTTCACCATTATATAAAGTCAACAAAAATGAAGTAGTTGTATATACGTAACATTGTATCCAGAGGGAAGATAATGAATATTAAAGAAACAGTCTCGTCTTCCTTTACCTTTTGTCCCCTAATACCTAGTCTACTTTTTAAATTTTCAGACTTCACTGCTTTTTGAATTCCTAATTCTAATTTTCACATTATTGTTAAGGGAAAAGCATATATAATAAAGGTTTGTTATTCCCATGCACAGTATGAAAACAAAAGTTGTACATTTTATTTATTTGTATGCACATTAGAAAAAAAACTGGCTTATTGAATCTGTGATGGCAAAGATATTGCTTAGGATAAAGTTAAAAGCTGACTTAGAGGGGCCGGGCGCAGTGGCTCAAGCCTGTAATCCCAGCACTTTGGGAGGCCGAGGCGGGTGGATCACGAGGTCAAGAGATCGAGACCATCCTGGTCAACATGGTGAAACCCCATCTCTACTAAAAATACAAAAAATTAGCTGGGCATGGTGGTGCGTGCCTGTAATCCCAGCTACTCAGGAAGCTGAGGCAGGAGAATTGCCTGAACCCAGGAGGCGGAGGCTGCGGTGAGCCGAGATCGCGCCATTGCACTCCAGCCTGGGTAACATGCGTGAAACTCCGTCTCAAAAAAAAAAAAAAAAAAAAAAAAAGCTGACTTAGAAAATATACTAGGACAGAAAAACCAGTATACAAATGATGTGTCTGAGATAAGTAAGCAAAAAAGTATGCAGCCCTCCTCCATGAAAACACATCCCTGCAGCCAATGGCTTCATAAAATTGCAGTTAAAATTCTATTTCTGTCTGCATTTTAAAAGTTTTACTTATACAATGATTTTCATGTAAAACAGAAACAAGGAAGTTCTCATGGACCAATGCACTAAATAAAGAGCCTTATCTAACTACACAGAATGCCAAGAAAATCCACCATCATGGGCATCCTAACTCCTAGCAGAAGGCAAGGCCACATCCAGCTTTATGACTTGTACAGACCACCCTGTGTAACACACAACATAAATCAGCGCTCCACTCTTTACACAATCAAAACAGAAGGAAACAGCCTGAGCTCAAGAGACAGCAGCAGTGCGCAGGTGGTGGGCTGATCTTACCTAGGAACAGATTCATTTCGTCCTCTTTATTCTTGTCTAAATTACTGACGTCTGCTCCCTTCCTTATCACCCCCAGACAGTACAGCGTCTTAACTACCCAGACAACGGGGGGGGGGAGGTAATGTAATGAAGGGAATGTGCCACAGCACAGAAAAAACTCGGAACCATGAGGTGAATTTAGCCATCCCATTTGAAGCCTGAACTGTGGAAGCCTAGTGGAGCAACTATTTCTCAAATATGTTAGATTCAGGATCAAAAACTGTGTTAAAATGTTCATGAACTTCAAACTGCTCTCAATAGAAGGACCAAAGGACTGTGAAGGACCAAATCAACATTCATTATAAGTATGTGGGCCAAGTGCAGTGGCGAATGCCTGTAAATTCTAGCACTTTAGGAGACTGAGGCAGGAGATCTTGTCTCTGCAAGAAATAAAAAAATTAGGTGGGCATGGTGGTGCATGCTTGGTGGTCCCAGCTGCTCAGGAGGCTGAGGCCGGAGGGTCACTTGGTCCCGAGAAGACGAGGCTGCAGTAAGCCATGATCGTGCCACTGCCCTCCAGCCTGGAAGACAGGGCCAGATCCCGTCTCAAAATATAGATGGATAGATAGACAGATAGATAGATAGATAGATAGATAGACAGACAGACAGACAGACAGACAGACAGACAGACAGAGGCTTACAACAAACACTTTTCTGTTCTTTTTGTCATGACTACCCATTCTTCTAGGCCTTATGAGAAAAGTGCCTGCTGTACCATATTCAATGAGAAATCATTTTCCTCTTAAATGTTTCTTGATAATTCACTACTAGTGCCTTGTGAAATGAGTCTGAACCTGCAAACACCCTACGCTGCCTCTGCAATTTAACCAGTGCCAAGCTCAGGCTCATCAATGACAGAAAAATATTTCGTTGTTTTTCCAAAGCTGTAAAGAGATCTTTCACCAGCGAGGGGAGCCATTGTGTTGGTGCAGGAGTTGTTCTAAATACTGCTGTGTACTGCAGCCCGCCACCATTCTCCATTTTCTGAAGACGGCCTTAACTGCTAGAAGGCACTCATGTACTAAGAAAAAGAGATTTAAGGTGGGTTAACTATAGTAGCTATATGTTAATATTGCTGTAAAGACACACTTTTTTCATACAATTATTGTTAATAATTTGAAGATGTTTATTGCATTCTATTTTTGGTGGGAAAAAATTCAACATACATTTATTTAGCACGACATTGTGAAATACACAAAACATGTAACTGAGTCAGCAGGATTTTTCTATTCCTAGTCCATCTCTGAGGACTAAATCATGAACTGCTCCCAATGTTATTAAATATGTCTTGCAATAGTTGGGCACCAAGTTTAAGATTAATTTTCTCCTCTCAGTATAGGCAGCAATTCACCATTTTCTTTCAGTTCCTAAAAATAAAAAACAATAATAATATGTATATGCATATATAAAAAGATGAAAACATCTAAAAATCACAGCTTGTATGTAAATCTGAGAACCAAAAGAAACACATATTGGATTAAAACTCCAGTCTTTTAACACTCTCAAACTAAATAATGCCATAAAAATTAACAAGGTATTCTTGGCCGGGTGAAGTGGCTCACACCTGTAATCCCAGCACTTTGGGAGGCCAAGGCAGGCAGATCACCTGAGGTCAGGAGTTCGAGAGCAGCCTGGCCAACATGGTGAAACCGTGTCTCTACTAAAAGTATAAAAATTAGTCAGGCGTGGTGACGGGTGCCTGTAATCCCAGCTACTCGGGAGGCTGAGGCAGGGACAATCTCTTGAACCTGGGAGGCGGAGGTTGCAGTGAGCCGAGATCATGCCATTGCACTCCAGCCTGGGCTATTGTGAGACTCCATCTCATAATTAAATTAAATTAAATTAAATTAAGTGAGTTAATGTATCCTAAAACCAACAGATTGTTTAGTATTAAGAAACGCAGCAAATGGAGCTAATGATCCCCTATTTAAACTATAGCAATAAATAAGGCAAATAAATCAAGTGACTTTCAAGGCTGAAGAATGAAGCAATGTGGCTAGGTGCAGTGCCTCATGCCTATAATCCCAGCACTTTAAGAGGCCAAGGGGGCAGATCACTTAAAGTGAGGAGTTTGAGACCAGCCTGGCCAACGTGACGAAACCCCGTCTCTACTAAAAATACAAAAACTAGCCGGGCGGGCATGGTGGCATGTACCTGTACTTCCAGTTACTTGGGAGACTGAGGATCGCTTGAACCCAGGAGGTGGAGGTTTCAGTGAGCCAAGATTGTGTCACTGCACTCCAGCCTGGGTGACAGAGTAAGACTCTGTCTCAAAAAAAAAAAAAGTAATGTGACATGAAAAGCCTACTCAAATATGATGCTTGTTCCCCTCCCACTCTGCCACTCACAGGGAGGAAACAGCCTTTGTTATTGAAACCCAACCTGGGAATATATTTCTGTCTTGGGAAAAGCTATAGTACCAGTAACATGGAGAGGCAGAAACTATTAAAAAGACCTAACAATTCAGAAACAGACATGGTATCAACAGAGCTACCACCAGCTTGACTGGAACTGCAGCACAGGCTCTACGCAGGCTCCATGCTCCTTGTGCCTAATTTCCAGATTTAAATTCTGGAGTATAGACACCAAGTTTGAAAGGTGACAAGTGATAAATAAGATTTTCTGGTTTAAAACAAACATTTAATATAACATTTCAGGTTATCACTGAGCTGCATAAACATCAATCAATAAAACCATTAAAATCCACATGACCTCCTCTCTGGATTAAAATCAAATATGAATGATGCTGTCACACCAAACCCAGACCACTTTCAGTAATGTCTAGGGATCTTCTACCTATTTAACGAGGAGACACCCTGCCGCTCCAAGGGACCCAGCAGAGGGACTTTTCAGAGGACACACTCAAGAAGGCAGAGGACCATGCAGCTCAGTGGGAAAGGGCAGGTGGCCCTCAGGAAGAATCTGGACTCAATGACTTACAGGTTATGGGATGGTGGACAACTCATCTGACCCCTCCATGTCTGTTTCCTCATCTACTGACTGAGAAGAAGAATTCTGCTCTCTGAGGCTGCTTGGGATATTACATGAAGCAGCCTCTTAAAAGCACCAAAACAGTGTGCCTGGCACATTGAGGGTGCTTCAAAAAGGCAATCCTCACCATCCTCACTGCTGTTAATGTGAGCCGGCAGGTGGAACAGCTAGACCTAACCAAATCTTCTAAATCTCTCTCAACAAAGTGTCTTAAGTCCAAACATTCTGTAACAGCAGTAGTTAACTGTTTACTCTTCAGAGGCAAGAATAACTCACAATTTTCTCAGGACACTAGATTGACCAAGTAACTAAGTCATTATTTATTCACTTATTTAACGAAACAAATGCTCATTGCTCCAAAGAGGCCACCCAGATTAGACCGTTTCAAACATCTTTTAACTGAACCATGAATTACTGCATTCTGCAAGAAACAGATCAAAATGGCATTGTAAGAGCCAGTCCATATATCTTCTCAAGGAAAAATGTTAACAATATCACACATTTCAAATGTATATGTTCTTAGCAGGTAAACATAAAAAAATCATATAACACTCTGTTATATAACTAAAAAGAAGTTACCCACACAGCTTAGCTTTAGAATTAAATGAGATTTATTGATTGTATCTTCCCAAGAGTTACCAATGGCTAAGGTACAGGCTGTAAAACATTCAGAGAAGAACAGGCTCAGGAGTATTTGGGGTTTGAGTACTGTTTGTGTCTTACAAAAATAAAATTATATCTATAGAGAGAGAGACAGAGAGAGAGAGGGAGGGGGACAAATGCAGATCTGTTTTAACTGCTTCAGGGCTATTCAAGAGCTATAGTATTAAACATTTTTCCCCCAGGAGTGAGGCCGTTCCCCAGGAGAAACGTCTCACTGGCTGGTTTAACAAGTGTGATATCAAACCTGGAACTCCACAGGAAACAAACCTGCACAGAGGCAACCACAGAACAAAAACAGCCTCTGCAATCGATGGAGCTCAAGCTTTGTTTCCATAAAACATAATGGTCCAAAAAAGTGCTGATGTTATTTCAGTGGTAAGCTAGTGCCTTCACTTTACAAAAGCATGTGTTAAACACTTTTACTCTGGCCGGGCACGGTGGCTCACGCCTGTAATCCCAGCACTTCGGGAGGCTGAGGTGGGTAGATCACCTGAGGTCAGCAGTTTCACCATGGCCAACATGGTGAAACCCCATTTCTACTAAAAATAGAAAAACTAGCTAGGCAAAGTGGCGGGAGCCTGTAATCCCACCTACTCAGAAGGCCAAGGAAGGAGAAACACTTGAACCTGGGAGGCAGAGGTTGCAGCGAGCCGAGATCACACCACTGCACTCCAGCTGGGCAACAAGAGTGAAACTCTGTCTCCAAAAACAAAAAACTTATTTTACAACGTAATTAGAAGCAGTACCACTTTGTTTTCCATATAAAACGCCAAAGATCTGATCTCAGAGAAAATTCTCTAATGGATCAAGGCAAGAGGAAGGCCTGAGGGCAATCAGCAGCCCGCCTTTGGGGCGGTTTTGTTCATGTTCCCAAGCAGAACCTGGCATTCGGCTAGCTCCTCTCTATACCCACTTGGCTACCACCCTCCTCCTTGACTCCACCATGCCCACAGTGGGCCTGGGGTGCAGTGAAGGGTTTGTGGGTAGATATTAAAGCTACAGTTTCTGTTTATTGTTTTGGGCTAATCGAGAGAACTATGGAGTACACAGGTGCTAGTTGGTGAGCCTGCCCTAAATTCTAGACATTAAATATAAGCTAAGTCACATCCATTTAAAACGCAATCAAAGTTTACTTAAAGCAAGAAGTAAAGTCATTTATCCATCTAACAACCATTTAATGAACTCCTAAAATACACAAAGCATCAGGAAGGACTCAAGGTATTTAAGAAATGGTGTCTTCTCTAAAACACTTACAATCTAACAGATAACAGATTTCCAAATATCTGAAAATCAAAAAGGGACCTATATTTCCGGGGCAGTGATCTTTAGTCTCTGTGGCACGGATGGGCAGCACTGGCCACAAGCCCCACGCTACTGTCACTCCACACACCCAAGGGCAGGTGAGTAAGGCAAGAAAAAAATAATCTGTTGGCCGGGAGCTGAAGCAGGATCTAACAGGGTGACAGGGAAGAGCACCCCATGGAAAGGAGCTGCAATGGCTAGTTCAGGTGTGGAAGTAAGAACAGGCTGCCACGTGGGGACAGTGAGAACAGCAGGATACTGATGCACACAGAAATGGTGATACTGGTCCAGAAATGCCTGAGAGTCAGGCTGGAAAGAGGAGTCAAAAACAACTCTTGAGTTTCCATTCAGGAAATAACTTTTACACATACCAAAATCTTTTCTGTTCTGTGGAATAGTGAAAGAGCTAGCCTTACCTTCACGATATCCAATCCTCCCACCAGCTCCCCTTTCACATACAGCTGAGGGTATGTTGGCCAATTTGAGTAAGCTTTTAATCCCTGCCGAACCTAAAGAAACAACAGGAATCCTGAAACCATTCCATCAGACCCTTATGATTCAAGCTAAGGCAAGGGTGAAACATCAAACACAAAACTTACTTCTTCATCCTCCAATATATCGAACGTTTCATATTCAACACTGCAAAAAAGAGAAGACATTTTAACAGGAAATACAATACAGTTGAATAAAAATTGTAAAACCTCTATGCATTTGATGTTTTTTAAACAATTAAGAAAACTACTTCATTGCTAACAAAATGTACTACAGACCAATGGAAATGATTTTACTTCTTAATCTGCCAAGTATTACACAGAATTAGTCATTCCAACATATGACTTTATCTGGACTTTTCTCAGACAATACTGGGTTAGACCAGGGGTGAGCAAACTTTTTCTTAAAGAGTATGACAGTAAACATTTCAGGCTTTACAGGCCAGACAGTCTCTCCTGCAACGGCTCAGCTCTGCTGGACAGCACAAAAGCAGCCACCGACATTTAAATGAAGGGATGTGGCTGTGTGCCAATATAACCTTACTTACAAAAATGGGCAGCCAGCTGCAACCTGCCAACCCCTCGGTCAGACTGACACGCCCATTGCACAAGCCTTCATTAACTGAACACTCTCACCCACTTCTCATACCTGCCCCACCCCAGGCTGCTGCTTCTTAACCTCCTGGAAGCTGCTCGTGGAACAGGATGGAGTAGTGCCTGTGGATGGAGGCTGTAGGGGCTCGGCAGCCAGACAACACCCACACTGCCAGCTCCCTCCACCATAGCAAGACACGCTTTCCACACTTAAATCAACTCATGTCAGAGAGGGTGCTGTTTTTAATGTACAAAAGACCAATGAAAGCTTTGTGGCTTTAAGCTGTACAGTGAACATTATTTGTACAAAGCATGAAAAAAATCACTGCATGAATATCCAATTGTATCTACTCAGAGCAATTTCACTGTTAGATAGTCAGGAATTAGCAAGCATGTATGCCTAAATCCTTGCAGGGTGACTGACAGTATACAGGTGCAATTCCCAAAGGTGGCCAAAGAAAATGCTACAGGTAAAAAAACTAGACTTTCCATAAAACTAAAACCATCATAGGGAAATCTTGTTTATTTACTAAACAAGTTCCCAAGGAAACTGTCTACGGGTGCAGGGAACAGTCAAAAAACTTAAATGATCAGATAAATCAGAAGCAATTATCAAAAAAAAAAAAAGGAATTATAAAAAAAGAGCAAAAAAAGACCCAATGTAAACCTAATTTTTTAAAAAATCCACTGTAAGTCTTCACTCAAGTTGAACTAACTAAAGGTGGCAAATCTCCTAACACTGTGATAAAAACAATGAGTTATAGAACTATTCATAAAGGATCCAGGAGGCACTGGGCCCAAGTGTGTGTACGTGGAGTCCTAACAGCCAATACACTTCCTAAAGGTTACTCGTAAAGGGTCCCTTTCAAATCTCAATATATACTTGGTTCTCAGCCCCTCATGCATGTGTATTTTGGCTACTAAAGAAATGAGAAAAAGTAAAAAAGAGCTTTGTCCACATACTTATGACACCCAGCAAGACCATGGTCTGTTCAAATTAAAAGAAGCTGAGGTCCTGGATGGCCTCACTCATCCTAGAGCCAATCATGCTTAGCAACTCCAGAGCTGGGAGGTCATTCTCTCCCAAGGCAGCCTCCTGCTCTGGGACAACAGGGTGTTTTCAATACAATGAAGATTAGACAGATAAAGGCAAGAAAGCCAAGTTACCAAGATGTTCCACCAAAGACACAGGCTGGGTCAGGCCCACTGTGTTGGCTCAGAAAACACTATTGCCATGAGGAAGCTGGTGCTGCTCTGCAGGATGAACTGTGTGTATCTCACTGTGGACCGCAGCAGAGGGTTGACAAAGAAAGGTGGAAATCAAAAATGACCAAAAGCAAGCCAGCCCCTACTGTACGGCCCAGGCCAGGGATGAAGAAAAGAGCAGGCTTGAAGTTACAATAAACTGACTATACTTGCCTCTATAAAGTGTCCCAATAATCTGAAGAAATCAGTCACAACTTTTTATTTTTTTTAGACAGAATCTCGTTCTGTCACTCAGGTTGGAGTACAGTAGCACAGTCTCGGCTCACTGAAACCTCTGCCTCCCGAGCTCAAGTGATTCTCCCTCCTCAGCCTCCCGAGTAGCTGGGATTACAGGTGTGCACCACCACACCCGGCTAATTTTTTATTTTTAGTAGAGATGGGGTTTTACCATGTTGGCCAGGCTGGTCTCAAACTCCTGACCTCAAGTGATCTGCCTGATCTAACTATAGCTAAAAGCTACAGTTACATGATTTTTAAAAGATGCAATCATGAAATAATGAGAAACAAACAAAAGTATCTGACAAACCCTGTGCTAAGTATCTCCAAATAAGGGGTTTTGTTTTTAACCACAAAAATCAATGGCAATGTTCTTTTTTTTTTTTTTTTTTTTTTTGAGACAGAGTCTCCCTGTGTCGCCAGGCGCCAGGCTGAAGTGCAGGGGCGGGATCTCCGCTCACTGCAACCTCCTCCTCCTGGGTTCAAGCGATTCTCACTACAGGCGCGCGCCATCACGCCTGGCTAATTTTCATATTTTTTAGTAGAGGTGGGGTTTCAACATGGTCTCGATCTTTTGACCTCGTGATCTGCCCGCCTCGGCCTCCCAAAGTGCTAGGATTACAGACGTGAGCCATGGCACCCGGCCTAATGGCAATGTTCTTACCTGACAGCTTCACCACTGAGCACATCAAAACTAGGAGCAACTGCAACTTAACCCACGCTACCTCGCAGATCCAGGTAACGGACCTTAACGTGCGTCCCTTCAGTGTTCTGTATTGTTTAGCAACTGTGATAGTTGAGAAAAATTTGAAACTACCTATATTATCCCTGAAATAGCTTCATGCATGGTGAGAACTCAGTTATTCACTTTCCTCTGGGAAAGTAGACAAAATAGTTATTCCAAAGGTTGCCTAAGGACGTCCTTTATGTTACTAATACTACAACACTGGCCAGAAAATTCCATGTTGGTCCAAGTGAAGACATTCACAAAACAATACAACAAAATATAACGAAAGATACAAATATTTATGGATAGATACAGATATGACAACTGAAAAGCATCAATGGCAGAACTGAAAAGTTGGAATATTCGGTTTTTTTTTTTTTTTGAGACAGGGTCTTGCTCTGTCACCGAGGCTGAGTCCAGTGGTGCAATCACGGCCCACTGCAGCCTCATCCTCCAAGACTCCAGTGATCCTACCACCTAAGTCTCTCAAGTAGCTGGGGCCACAGATGTACGCAACCATGCCTGGCTAATTTTTTTATTTTTTGTAGAGATGGGGTCTCACTATGTTGTCCACACTGGTCTTGAACAGCTGGACTCAAACAATCCTCCTGCCTCAGCCTCCCAAAGTCCTAGAATTATAGGCGTGAGCCACTACACCAGGCCAGGTTGGATTTTTTTTAATACACCATTTGAAAACAACATTTACATACCCAGTACTATTTAGTATTTCCAGAATTTGTTTGCTGAATCCACATTTTGCTTCCTAGATGAAAAAAAATTTTGCAAATATTACATTTGTTATATGACCCAAGCAGCACGGTTATACCTAATGCTCTGCCAACCAGCACAGCACTTGTCCCGTGTAGCTGCCACTCCTTTTACTTAGCTCCCAGGGCTTCTTCTCATCCCCTCTTCAAGTACAAACCCAACTACACATCAACCCAGGCACATGTGACCCACAGGCTTTGGTTTGTAACCACTTAAGATGATATGTGTTCCAACAGTTTATAATCTTTGTGGTCAAAAAGTTCCTCTAAGTGAAACCTAGAATTTCTACAGAAATGTCAGTTCATTCTTAACTTCACTCACACAAAATGATTTTAACTCAGCCTTTTTGCAATGATTATGGCAATCATTTTCCCATTTCCAACTAGACCCTGACTCCCATCTTTCTTTTTTTTTTTTTTTTTTTTTCTTTGAGACAGAATCTCGCTCTGTCACCCAGGCTGGCTGCAACCTCCGTCTCCCAGGTTCAAGCAATTCTCCTGCCTCAGCCTCCAGAGTAGCTAGGACTACAGGTATAAGCCACCATACCCTGCTAATTTTTTGTATTTTTAGGAGAGACGGGGTTTCACCATGTCAGCCAGAATGGTCTCCATCTCTTGACCTGGTGATACGCCCGCCTCAGCCTCCCAAAGTGCTGGGATTACAGTGTTAAGCCAACGTGCCCAGCCTCATTTTATTTTTACATTACAGAATACTAATACTTTTTTGAGGTTATGAAAATCTTAAGCCTTTTTTATGCCACAGGACTCCAAATTCCAGCACTCCTGTAGAAAACATGTGGTACCATGTAAACAGTTTAATAGCCCTAATAATGCTGTTTCCAAAATGTATTAATACTTTCTAGGCTTACAGGAAAAAAAAAGTTTTGAGAATAAATATCCGCTTAAACAATCACCAAGAATAAGAAAAAAATGTCACTTTATCATTACTAGGAATTATTAATGTGCTCTATTGTTTCAATACACTGAACTAAAATCAAATAATCTAGGCCTTAACCTAATGATCCCAAACATGCTGAAATGTATATTAACATTTTCTTTGTTACTGTTACTTCCATTACTTAATTATATTAACCGATTAGTTATATTAACTAATTAGCTTCATTATGACTAGTTATATTAACTTACACACTAGTTATGGCAACCAGGGTCTGCCCTGTGAAGAAGTATTGTGTCCCTTTACCAACGAGGAAAGTTAGGTTCTCCATGTGTTACTTGCCCAATGCAACCTGGCTAACAAGTGAAGTGTTTTCTTTATTCCAGCAGCCTCACCCTTCAGAGCTTTAGTTTCTTTATCTCTAAAACAGGCCAAACTCTGTCCAACCTCGCCTACTTCAACAACTGATTGAGACTTAAGTAGAAATTCAAGTGCTATGAAAACTACAAAATTAGATACATATGTGTATGGCTGGTTTCTGGAAATTACCACTCTGATCTCAATCTGAAAGAAAATTAGTTTTGCTCAAGCTATTAGTGGAAGTAATCTATCAAACTTGATATTCAAAATGATGCACAATCCATATGCACTTTCGTCAAAAAGCTACAAGAACCATCCCATTACAAATGAGAATTGCTCATCATTTCACTCATTCATCAAACACACACGCAGCATACCTGCTACACAGCCAGGGTTTGCTCCTCCACTGTCACAGAAGGACAATCAGGGGGTGCAAACTCAAGCACTGGACATTCAGAAAGCCCAGTGAGTGACTCAGCTGAACACTCCAGCGGTCCACACACTCAAACAAAAGGTAATGAAATAACAACTCACACAACCAGTAAAGTGTTAACAGTGTTGACCACGTTAGCTGACAAAGTTTGGCAGAAGAAAGAAATGCACCCCACTGAGATGTTGATGATAAAGTCAAGCAAAATGTAGATTACTTTGTTTGATCTCTGTAAGCACCAATTAAGGCCTGGATAACTTCCTGATACCGCTACAGCTTCATTAGCTAAAGCTAGGAAAAAGAGATTTAACTGTCCCCTTGTTGCAGACGTTAACATGGAAAGAAATTACAAATAAAACCATTTTTGAGTTCTTTACCTGTTTGTTTCCTTTCATAAAGAGCATCACAGAAGCTTTATTTGTCAGCACTTTGAGCCTGAAGAGAGAAAATTGATATAAAATGGCTCAGCTCAATTATGCAACACCACTTTTCCTCTGCTTCGTCAGTAACATGCATATTTGAGGGATGGCAGGATGACAGTTCACAGCTTTGAGTGGTATTAAACAGGCAAATGCATTGACATTTTCCTTGATTTCATTCCCTCCCTAAGCCACTGTAAAACACAATATGGCTTTTAAGGCAAGGAATGTTCCTTCAAGTTGCAATTTAAGCCCATCAACTCACAGTAATAAAAAAAAATAATAATAATAACCAATTCAGTAAGGAACTGTTCAGTAAGGGGCTTATATATTAAGCCCATCCAAAACTTCCAGAACTAGATCTTGTGTGCACCATCTTCCATCATGCTGCTGCATACCACTGTACACATGTAAAGCTCACAGGGTCAGATTGCAGGGTGACACCGTTAAATAACCCTCAGAACATCAGCTAATGCCAGCTACTAACATCAAATGCTCTCAATATTATGTTTTATATTTTATATAGTCTTTCAAACATCATAATCTAACATGCTGTCAGGAATTTTAATTATCTGTATGCAGCCACAAGTTTAGTCACAAATCTCAGGAAAGTCAGTGTTGGGACAACGGGTCACTAAAGAACCTAAGCCCCATGGGGTCACGCCACCATGTTCTCCCAACTCATGGCTCAAAAATCTCCTTATAAGCTCATCCCAAATGAAATGCATAAATCACGCACAAAACTGTATCACTTACATTGCCAACCAAGTAGGATTAGCTCAAGTTCAGAAAAACATAAACAGATACAGGAATACAACAGTGACCCTGACAACCCAACTAACTCAGCCACCTGGACACAGGGACCACAGGTCACAGTATACTGCCCAAATACATGTCACGAGTCCACAAACTCCACTTTCTGCACTCTGCTGCTCACTTGGAGCCCTTCAAATTATTACTCAAAATATGCTGAATTTTATTTTCTACCTAATTCTAGCCAGTTACCTTTTGGTGTCTGAAAGCACAGGAGATTTAGAAGCAGCAATTAGGAAAACGGAGGTCTGACAGAGACAAGGCCATAAGCAGCAGCAAGTGTACTCAGCAGAGAAGAAGAATCGGCTGAACAGCAAACACAAGCATATAAAAAGTGCAGCTGTCCTTGGAGACCACACAGCCTCCACGGGCCAAGGGCATCACCAGGCTACAGCCAAGAACCACACATGAAGACAACCAGAGTCAACAAAGGGATGAGGAGCATCACTTTCTCATGAAGAAGGCAGGAAATGGTGCAAATCACAGGACAGAACGTGGCACGCAAAGATCAGCTTGATATATGGGGAATGGAATGTGGTTTATAGAAATTATTAATTAAGGAGATCAGCTTGATGTATGGGGAATGGAATGTGGTTTATAGAAATTATTAATTAAGGACAGACAAATGAGGTATTTATTACTATTAAACACTTTTAGAAATTCTCAAGATGTTACATGGCAAAAAAAAATTACCAAAGGAAGATTTACGAATCACTGATTGCTGACAGAACAAATTCCTTTTTAAAGTTCGATATTAATTCACATTTACTGCAATAAAAATCCCATTTAGTCGCCTTACACACCAAAGTCCAACATTTCTGTAACAGAACTTCTCTAAAAGCCCAGTGAGATCCTTGATAAAACAAACATAGGTTTCACAGCTCCAAAACCTGCTCGTGTTAAGTTCTTGTGGTCTAGAAAGCCCATGAGAAGTGCCCAAAGCTTATTGCGAGTTGATGAGCTTTTCACTCTCACCACTTGTCAGTGCCCTGGCATTGGGGCAGCACCCGCAGCAGTCACCAAGGCTGCACCCAGGAAAACACGAGTGCGCTGAGGTTATGCGAAGGAGCAGTGACAAGAAAACTGGACCCTGGCTCTGAAATGCAGACAGGTAAGCAAAATTTGGTTGTTCCACAGAAACAATGACATTTCTATAAAAGCAAAGAGTATCCTCCACATGATCAATAAGTTGGTGCTAAAATTTCTCCAATCCAAATTAGATCTGCCCAAATTTGCATGGCTAGTTTGATTGTAAACAACAAATTATGACCTCTGGCATACAAATACCAAATCCTTGATTTCTACGCAGAAAGAGCAATGCAAAACCTGAGGACTTTAAAATATTTTTAACATATCAAATGATAGGCTATTTGAAAGTTTCTAAAGCACTTACCTTTCCTCTAATTTGGGGGCTTTGGGACAAATTTTATCTAGTTCTTCAGATGCTTCTAGCTCCTAAAATAAGCACACGTCAGTTTTAAGAAAAAAATTTATTATAACATAAATCTCCTTGATCATACCATAACATAGAATACTGATCAATCAACTAATCAGAAATACTGTGTATTCATTGCAAGTTCTTATTAGTAAATACAGATTCATAGAAATTTGTACCCTAGATTTATCACAACATTTTAAACAGTATGCTTTAAATGGAATTTCTTTACAAGGCACAGACTTCTCCATTCTAACCTTAATTATATCAAGTCCTCCTATGAGCTCTCCAGAAACGTAGAGCTGAGGATAGGTAGGCCAGTTGGAATAGGTTTTGAGTCCCTGTCGAACCTCTTCATCTGAGAAGATATCAAAGCTGCTAAACTGAATATTATGTTTGTGAAGAATTTCCACCATCTGCTTGCTGAAACCTGTACACAAAAAAAGAAAATAAAGCACTTTGCTTCTCTCTCTCTCTCGAAACACATACACATAAAACATTAGTTCAGCATATATATGATCTACTGGACATACAGACACCTGCCTCTTATGTTGCCGGTGATTTAATTAGCATGGCTCACTAGTATACACAAAGAGAAAATATACTCCTGGATCCCCTTATTTGACCTTGAACCATAGCACACATTCAGATATGACTTAACTTTTTGACACAACTATGAGTATTTAAAAAAAAAAAAAAAAAGTGGTGTATTTATTAAAGCTCCTCTTAATTATCATGGACATTTTTTTTTTTTGGTCACAAGAGAAGCTGCACTAGCCAAAAAGCAGAGAGCTGGGAGTGATGGTGCACACCGTAATCCCAGCAACTGGGGAGACTAAGGCAAGAGGATCACTTGAGCCCTGAAGTCTGAGGCTGGAGTGAGCTCTGAGACTGCCACTGCACTCCAGCCTGCAGTGTGAATAAACAGCAAGACCCTGGCTTCAAAAAAAAAAAAAATACACAGAAATCTGAATCCCTGACACTGGCTCCCTCCACCCACCAAGGTGACACAAGATGAGGCCATGGCCTCCACTCAGCACTTTCCTAGCAATCAGGAGACTGACCTGACACTCTGGACAGTCCCTCCCAGCCTTCCTATTGTGAATCTATGAGAATCAACTCTGGGCAGAGGAAAAAAAGTTCTACAATTGTTATTTTAACTACTACTTGACTATACTGTACTGAAAACCCAATGTTCGTTTCTACTGCCATTTTACTACCTCCTGAGTACCCACTTCAGTAGTGCTCAATCTTCACTATCTCTAAGCAGGATAAATTAAAAATCATGAAGGATGTGTTCTCCTGTAGTCTAAAATAGGCACAGTACATTGAATTTTAAAGCCATCTTCTCTGTTATATATGAACCATCAATAGATTGACAGTATTCTTTCTCATCTCATGTCATAACTTGACAGTTTCTTTTTTAAAACTATTTACATTCCCTAAAGTATGTAATGTAATTTTTTTACTACACTATAGTGGCAATTTTATGTTCCATGATTTTATTATACTTTTGTGACACATTTTTATTCTGTACTTTTTTGACATCATCTTATTATGACATTAGAACTGAAGAATAAGAGTGTGAATATCAGTCTTTTATAAACCTATTAGTCTAGTCTGAAAAAAAAAAAAAAGTATTTTTCTTTCCATAAGCTAATTCTTCTCCATTGTTCCCAATACTTTGTATGGCCCTACTCTCTCACGCCTCATTCTTCTTCTCAAACACAGTTGTAATTCACTGGAAAAGAACCTATTCTTCAGATTCAAAATTTCTATAAGACTGAGCAGGGTCAGCAATTATTTTTAAATACAATGAAACCATAAAATTCAATATAAGATTAATTGCAAGAATGGGCTTTACCTGATGTCACCCAAAATCACATTTACTATTGAAACACGGATCTACAACTGAGCTGTAAACATTTTCCAAATCTGCAGTTTATTTAGATGAAGCACTAGTATTTATTTGTACAGCATGTAAGTTGCTTTTCCTACATCTGAAGTGTTAAGTTCATGTACAGCCTCAAGTAAAACACTGATTCTGACATTTTTTTATTCATCTGGGAGTTCATTAGTAAACAGCTAAAGGCTGATTGCTGATGGTTATTCTGTTGCCAATATATTAACTTATTTTTACTGTAACTGGCTGAGAAAAAAGCTTTATTTTAGCTTTAGGCAATTACATGCAGACTAGGAAGATTGATTGGTAGTGTTTCATTTTTAAGGGTTAAAGTGGCAGACTAGAAATGTTATGCTTAAGGATAACATGGCAAGAAGGCTTTATTCTAATAACAAAATATTTACACACTTTTTTTTTAAGAAAAATGCATGCATGCAATAAAAACATTTAAATGTAGAAATGTAATGTTTAACTACCACAGAATCCCCATTTCCATCCCCAGTCATTTCTACTCATGACATGAATAGGTGCCTAACACCACACCTCATCACTACCTAACAATAAACCCTAAAAAACATCTCTGAAACCTGCTGATTTTGTGGCTGATTTAAAAGTAAGAGCCCGGCTGGATGCCTCTCACTGCAGGAGGAATATCTCTGACTATGGTTCAAATGCCTTTTGCTTTCCTACAAGCTTTGTTAACGGAACTAGTTGTAAGAATTCCCAAATAGTTAACCTATTCAAGGATTTAAGATTCTGTTTAAGATGACATACACCTCAGTGCTCCTGGAAACTCTTCCTAAAACAATCACTTTCCTGTCTTCATGAGGAGCACAGAATAAGGACAATTCAATTCTTTTCGACTGAGACCCTATCCACATGTCAGGCTCATAACATACCATCCAATTCTGCAGGTAGAGTACATGTGGAAAATAAATTGATGGAGATGACCTGTGTAGAAGCTGGGCTGAATCCAACAGAGCTCCAGGAGAGACCCTAAAAATGGCTTTCAAGGTTTTCTAGATATACAATTTACATGTTATTCATTCATGTTTTTCTGATTAGCAGAAAGCAAGGTGGGGACCAGCTAATCAAAAAACAAATACTGTTATACTCCACAGTGGGAGTCCAGCAGTGTTACCAGAGGTAGCACCTTCAAAGCTAATTTGGTGCAAAATAAGGAAAGAACAGCCACGTGAGTGTTCACCAAATTAGATGGCCAATGCTTCTACAAAGAGGGTTTTGCTTACACCCTTCTCTAAAATGCCAACAGAAGAGCAAAAACAATGCTCTACTAAGCAGGCTTGGAAAGGAACAGCAAAGGGTTGAAGTGACTTATATTCCCTTAAGAAAACAGTTTAAAAATATTTTCCAATTAATCCTAAGTAGGTGTTTTATTAAAAAACAGCAACATCCTTAAATGATCTCTTTACTGTACATGACAGAAAGACATGTAACAATATATCAGGAAACAGAAAAGCTCATTGAAAATGTAGTTACAAAAATTATATAGAAAACAAGTACTTTAGGCCGGGCGTGGTGGCTCAAGCCTGTAATCCTAGCACTTTGGGAGGCCGAGGTGGGTGGATCACGAGGTCAAGAGATCGAGACCATCCTGGTCAACATGGTGAAACCCCGTCTCTACTAAAAATACAAAAAATTAGCTGGGCATGGTGGTGCGTGCCTGTAATCCCAGCTACTCAGGAGACTGGAGATTACAGGAGAATTGCCTGAACCCAGGAGGCGGAGGTTGCGGTGAGCCGAGATCGCGCCATTGCACTCCAGCCTGGGTAACATGAGTGAAACTCCGTCTCAAAAAAAAAAAGAAAAAAAAAAAAAAAAAAAAAAAAAAAAAGAAAACAAGTACTTGAAAAGAAGAAACTATAATTGTTAAATTATATGTAACTCAAAATCTTTCTTTATTCTGTCTTTTATTAATTAAATATCTATAATACCATGTTGTCAGATGGCTCTGATATATTTTTGTTTTGTTTTTGTTTTTTTGAGACAGAGTTTCACTGTTGCCCAGGCTGCAGTGCAATGGCACGATTTTGGCTCACTGCAACCTTGGCCTCCCAGGTTCAAGCAATTCTCCTACCTCAGCTTCCCAAGTGGCTGGGACTACAGGTGTGTGCCACCACGCCCAGCTAATTTTTGTATTTTTAGTAGAGATAAGGTTTCGCTATGTTGGTCAGGTTGGCCTCGAACTCCTCACCTCTAGCAACCCGCCCACCTCAACCTCCTGAAGTGCTTGGATTACAGGCATGAGCCACCACACCTGGCCCTGAAATGTTTCAAAACTTCATTTTTATTCTATTATTTGTACAGTCCTCCAAATGCCACTCTGTTAATATAAAAATGTCTAGAAGTAAATTCTAAATTCAGTTTAATAGAGTAAAAGGTAAGCAGAAAAACTATAATTTCTAAGTTTCTCTCTAATTTACTTGAATAATCACACAATATCTGCACTGAAAAGGCCCTCCAAGTTTGGCTCCACCCCCAACAGCACTAGAAGGAATTAAAGGCACCAAGAGGGTCCCTGACTTGTCCCCAAAGCTGCTAAGGCTGCAGGGTTGGCCTAGGGCTCACCTGGCATGACATCCAGTCTAGCACACTTCCCAGGATATCCTTCTCCTCTGAGCACCTTCCCCAAGCTTCCCCAAGCTTCAGTGTTGCCAACTGCCCTTTCATTAGGTTTATCATTCAGAAAAGACTGAGACTACTACTGTTCAACTCCAAAGGAGAGAATACTGTAGAGATTCCACTGTAAGTATTCTTCACCCACATTTCACAGCCAGTTCTACTGTACCTGAGATCTGAGAGAAGGTGCTGAATACAATCCACTCGGCTGAAGTGGTAAGTTCCCATTATTAGGCTACCACATAAAGTACAAGAAATGAGTCTCATGTTTCATGGGAGAAAGTGAATCTGAACCATGTGCGACCCCCATTAAAAACAAAATAACAAACACAACAGAGACCATCTGTTCCTACCTTTAGTTTAGTGCAGACCAAGTTAGCTTTACAATACATAAATAGTAGGCAAAATACTGGCAAGGAAATTTTTTAGGCAGAACTAAGAGATACTTTTAAGACAGAATTCATCATGAAACTCTATTTTTAAAACTACACATTATCATAACCTAATATGTAATTTAATAACCCTACAGGGAAGAATTCAGAATTAAATTCACACTGGAAGCTTGGCTATCTTGGTAAAGTCACAGCGGACATGCTGTAATCATATCAAGAGCATACTCAATGTTACTGCCCCATCTTAATAAATTCCCTCCTGTGTACTTGATACAAATACTCTTAGAGTCTCAACAGCATCATCAAATGGTATTAAATGCTCAATTACGCAGCATACTAACGTTGTACTAGGCACAGTAAAAAGAAAATAACATAAACCCAGTACCGGAGGGGTCAAATAACTCTAAAACTTACTTAAGGACAAAATTACAAGCATCCATGTGTACAGAAAAGGAGAGTGACTACAAGCCAAGAATTCGGCATCTTTCCATTACTAGCAGCTATAAACTGGAAATGACAGCAATGGGGGAAGAGAATCATTAGATAGTGATGACACAGGGAAGGCAAAAGCACACAGGGTGGACACAAAAACACGAAGAAAATTCTGCAAATTTTTTAATTGCTGAAACTAAACTAGGTGAAAAACAGGAGATTGGCAAGAAAGAAAAGGCAACTGCTAACAGCAAAAGTAGCTAGTAACAGGCAAAGGGCCTGTTAACAGAGACAGCAATATGGTAGTTGGAACCTAATCCTAACTCTGCTTACCAGGTGACACTGGGCAAGTCACCTCTATCTTTGAGTCTGAGGACTTACATATAAAACAAAACTCTGAATTAGATGAGTTCTGAGGCTCCTTTTGGTTCCAACATTGAGTCTATAACGCAAACTAATTCTTATCACCTAATCATAGAGTGTCCTTGGGAATTATAACCTTTCTGATTTTCTAAAGGTATGTGAACACAAGTATAAGATGTATGGTATAGCTTGGAAACAGGATGCCCATATCAAACATACCCTATTCTGGGAAAGCACCCATTTTGTTTATATTATCTTAAAGGCAGCTTCTTACCACATCGTGGTTCTTGAGGAGTTCCTTTCATAAACAGCATGCAGGGGGCAGCATGAATCAATTTCTTCAGGCGAAGGTTGAGATCTTTAGGATGTTCATTAGCGCTGGGTGGGAAGGAGCCACTAGATGCATGTCGCTGAACTTTTTTGGTCAACTCTGGAGCATGTGCACCATCTAGTCGGTCGATTTTCTGAGAATTCTAAAGTTTAAAAAGTTATTTAGAATACATGCAGCATTCCAAACAGTTACGTAGTTCAAATTTTTAAAGGAAACAACAGTATTACTGGAGATGTGAAAAAAAAAACCCTCATTGCCAATTGCCTGCACTGCAACTCAATTTTAGAAATATATAATAATTTTTTTCTTTTCTTGGATAAACACTGAGAAAATATTGCCACATCTCAGAGTCAAATCAGGTCAGTCTAACCAAACACAAAAAAGACTGCCCCCACACTGGCTGGGATGAATCTGTTATTAAGTATAAATGAGGTATTTGGGGAACTACTATAACACCCACGGGTGCCCAGAAGCTCAGATTTGCACCTGCTTCCTAGAGTCATTCATCAAACTAGAACCAGCCAGAGGTTCCACTATGTCCAGGCACATGCTCTAAACAACCAATTCAACCAACTCAGGTAGCACTGCGGTTCCACAGCCACATATCTGGATTTTGATCAAGAAGCTCTGATTCTGGCTGCTGGCACTACACAGTCCATGCCCCTTTCCTAAGATGTTGGCAAGCAGCTGGCATGGTCTTCTTTCTCAGCATTGGTGCAAAAATTGAGACTATCAGAAGAAAGGCAAAGGGCCAGAAACAGCCAAATAACCTAATATTCGGGGTTAGACAGAGGGTGAAGAAACAAACAGGTAGCCGCACGGCACCTTATAATGGATGATCTCTTGCGCCACCTTTATACTTACCTTGAAAAACAGAAAAGTGGGAACAGAGCTAATTTCATATTTTTCAGATACTTCAGGAACACCTTCAGCTTCCAACTTTAAAATGAAAGAATTCAAACTTGATTATTACAAGGTCCTTTTTCACTACTTCAATATGTAAATCAGTTTCACATGCATTATCCCTTCAAGTAGCTGGCATTTTTAAAGAGTATGGTACAAAAGTTTATGACACATTTACATTTAAATGAGACTCACTGGGCTGGCATGTCATCCACTGAGTCTGCAGTGTCAAAACAGGTTCAGAGGTTTTTATTTTGTTGCACATTTCAAAAGATGCCTGGAGGCTGTGAATAAAATTTTTGGTGCACTAGTGACCTAGTAAATTTTCAATCATATGCAGCTACTACTATATTGAAATCCATAAATCACTGACCCCAGTTATGTCATGATTACAGTGCTTATTTTCTGCCCACAGCAATTCTTGCTGTTTGCTCTATTGACTAATTTCAAGAGGCAGTACATCATGACTGACAGTTGCAGCCTTCTGCAAATTATGAAGCAAAAAGGACTATTTCTTCAATAAACTATTGATGTCTGATACATTTTGCTTTTAACTCCTGCAAGGCTGCTGGACACTAGGCAGATACCTTGCTAGGTTACTTGTTTCCAGTCTATTTATAATGCAAATGCCTTTTAAATGCACTGTGTTTGATAATTTCCTTGAGGCCCCTCAACAAGACAGGATGTGATATCTGATGCATGAATTTAAAACATATTTAGTGACACAATTTCTAAATTATTAGAGCACAATTACTGCAAGCTATTCATGTAGATCTTTATAAATGATATACTGTACTTTGAGAAATACCAAGATATATCCTTCCCTCATAGGACTGTCAATTTAATATAAACTTTTTGAAACCAATAAAAATCTGTATTCACATTATACCTATAGGAAATAAAATTTATTGATAAATTATATTGTTAAAAGTTTTTAAAATATATATGCTATATTTTTCCAAGAGTGAAAGATTTCCACTGAGCCTGAAAGACTATTGTTATCTAGAGCCTTACCCGGTCAGGTTATATCTACCCAAATAAAGCTCAGAGGCAAAGTGGGAAGCAGAGTTACCTGTCTTTGGTTTTTATCTTCTATCTGCTACATTCTTGGGTGCTCTTTCACTATCTTAATTTTTAATTTTTTAGAAAACCCTTTTGCAGAGCTGGGTGCAGTGGCTCATGCCTGTAATCCTAGCACTTTGGGAGGCCTCGGTGGGTGGATCACGAGGTCAAGAGATCGAGGCCATCCTGGCCAACATGGTGAAACCCCATCTCTACTAAAAATACAAAAATTAGCTGGACGTGGAGGCACACGCCTGTAGTCCCAGCTACTTGGGAGGCTGAGGCAGAAAATCGCTTGAACCCAGGAGGTGGAGGTTTCAGTGACTCAAGATTGCACCACTGCACTCCAGCCAGTTAATAGAGCAAGACTCTATCTCAAAAAAAAAAAATAAAATAATAATAAGAAGAAAACTCTTTTGTAACAGCATTTTTAATTATTTCCATTTTTAAATGTACTTATACGAAAATTCTATAAATTTTAAATCAATAGTCAAATAATCTGAAAAAAAGAACAAAAAGATAAAAGCATTCTGAGACAGCTATTTAGAACAGACTCTCAAAAGTTTTAAAGACATTTGTGCTACTTTCTTTCACATACACAACATCACACTCAGATCAAAGATGACCAGAAAAGCTGATGACCAGGACATGCCTACACTAGTACCCTCCAGCTCGTTATTTTCTGTCTTTCAACATATATGGAGTGCCCACACGCACTGGGCACTGTGCAAGAATCAGAAAAGGGTCCTTCCTTTAGTACTACTGAATTCTAACCAAAAAGTAATACAAATCCAAAAAAGGATAATACTAAGTAGAAGGAAGGTAACATGGTCTTAAACCAGTACAAAACAGGTAGCACCCTGACTCAGAAAAACAACTTCCTATCTTCTTTTAAATCTGGTTTCTTAGCTGAGCATGACGGTAGATGCCTGTAATCCCAGCTACACAGGAGGCTGCGGCAGGAGAACCGCTTGAACCCAGGAGGAGGAGGTTACAGTGAGCTGAGATCACACCATTACACTCCAGCCTGGGAGACTGAGCGAAACTCTGTCTCAAAAAAAAAAAAAATCTGATTTCTTCTTATATTCCTGCTGGTTTCCAGTGGAGCAGCAATTCTTCTGGGAAGCAAACGACCTCTTACAATTCCTGCTGAAAGCTGAGAACTGCCATAACTGCCTCCACTCAATCAGCTGCCAGAAGGAGATCTTCATAACACAGAGGCAATGGTAACAGACAAATCTTCAGAAGAAGGGAACAGGAATCCCATTTAAGGCAAAAGAGTTCTCCAGAAGCTCAAGGGCATCTGAAGTCCTAAACTCCTGCAGCACTAAAATTCATTAGAAATATTTTTGTTGTATTTAACATAATAGTTTTAACAATGAAAATAGAAAATAAATATATAAATATGTTTAAAGGATCTGCATTCAGAAGAGCTTAAAAGATGATGAGAAATAGCTATCATTCAGGGGCGACTTACTCTGTGCCATAAACCATGAGAAGACCTTAACATGAAACAGCCCAGCCTACAGACTATTTTGAAAGGTGCAAAATTTTAGCATGTTATCATCTCAACTTAATCAGTGGTTCAAGAGGAGGTGCGATGGTTGTTTAAGGTTTCAACTTGACTGGGTTAAGAGATATCCAGGCAGCTCTTAAAACATTACTTCTGGCCATGGCTGTGAGGGTGTTTCAGGGAGAGACCGGCATTGAATCAGTAGAGTGAGTAAGGAAGATCCATTCTCACCCAGTAGGGGGGGACACCATCCAACAGGTTGATGGCCTGAAAAGGACTAGAAAAAAGCAAATTCTGTCTTTTTCCCTTGTTCTCTCTCTCCCTCCCTCTCCTCCGCACACATGCTCCCCCACCCCCCAGCCCTCCTGCCCCATCTCTCCCTCCTGGAGCTGGGCTATCCACCTTCTCCTGTCTGTGGACATCACAGCTCTAGGTTCTCCAGCCGTCAGACTGCAGAACTTGCCCCAGCGGCCCCCGGGGTTCTCAGGCCTTCAGAGTTGGACTGAGCTATGCCACCAGCTTCCCTAGTTCTCCAGTGAGTGGAGGGCAGATGGTGAGACTTCTCAGCCTCCTAAATCCCCTCCCATCTATCTGTACCTACCCTATTAGTTCTGTTTCTCTAGAGAACCCTAACACAGAAGGTAACTTGGGTAACTTGCCCAAAGATACATGGCGAATAAATGGCAGAGCTGAGAAAGAAAACCAAGTTTGTTTGACTGTAAAATCTGTGCTTTTATCACTATACCGTGGTTAATTTTTTTCTACTACTACAATCAGAAAGAAAGATTACATGTCAAAGTAGGATTCATACACGACTTCAAGACCAATCAAACACGAATATTTCCAAAATAGAATCGAGATAAAATGCCTCAAGTGGAAACCACTTGCTTCCTACACTAAGAATTCAACCTTTGGAACCAATCCCACCGGCTGTGTCTTTGTAGAAGGAGAGAAAGTGCAAGAGAGGCATCAGGTAAATCCAAGGTGGGGAATCCTCTCTCTGTTCTACTTTTACTGAGCAGGGGTCATCAGCGACCACTATGATAGTAATAGCGACTAGCTACAATTTACTCTGGGTCAGACACTGTTCTGAGTGTGCTTCATGTGTAGACTAATTTAATCCTCACAATAAAAGAAACTGTCTTTAACCTCCATTTTACAGAAGAAACTGGAACTTAAAGAGGTTCCATAGCTTGGCCTAGATCACTGCCATCATTTGAATGTACATGTCCCTCCTAAATTCATAGGCTAGAAATTAACATCCAAGGTGATAGCAATTAAGAAGGGCCTTTGGGAAGTGATTAGGCCATGAAGCCTCTGCCCTCATGATGGGCATAGTGCCATGATAAAAGGGTTTGAGGCTGGCAAGTCCCTTTTTGCTCTTCTTCTCCCGCTGCCCTGTGAGGAACATAGCAACAAGGTGCCATCGTGGGAGCAGAGAGCAAGCCCTTGCCAGATACTGAATCTGCTGGTGCTTTGATCTCGGACTTCCCAGCCTCTAGAACTGTGAGCAATAAATCTGTTACTTAAAAATTGCTCAGTCTAGGCCGGGCGCGGTGGCTCACACCTGTAATCCCAGCACTTTGGGAGGCCAAGGCAGGTGGATCATGAGGTCAAGAGATCGAGACCATCCTGGCCAACATGGTGAAACCCCGTCTCTACTAAAAAATACAAAACTTAGCTGGGCATGGTGGCACGCACCTGTAGTCCCAACTACTCAGGAGGCTGAGGGAGGAGAATTGCTTGAACCCAGGAGGCGGAAGTTGCAGTGAGCTGAGATGGCACCACTGTACTCCAGCCTGGTACCTGGCAACAGAACAAGATTCTGTCTCAAAAAAAAAAAAAATTACTCAGTCTAGCCAGACATAGTGGCTCACACCTGTAATATCAGCACTTTGGGAAGCTGAGGCGGGCAGATCACCTGAGGTCGGGAGTTTGAGACCAGCCTGACCAACATGGAGAAACCCCATCTCTATAAAAACACAAAATGAGCCAAGCGTGGTGGTACATGCCTGTAATCCCAGCTACTCGGGAGGCTGAGGCAGGAGAATCGCTTGAACCTGGGAGGCGGAGGTTGCAGTGAGCCGAGATCACACCATTGCACTCCAGCCTAGGCAACAAGAGCAAACCTCCGTCTCAAAAAAAAAAAAAAAAAATTACTCAGTCTAAGGCATTCTGTTACGGCAGTACAAATGGACTAGGACAATTACAAACCTGTTGAGTGATGCAGGCAGACAGTGTGTGTGTGCAGCCAAGCACCTCCCTACACCATATGTTCCACTTCAGGGCTGCTGCCCTTTCCTCCTTCCACTGACCCTTCAGTACCCTTCACTAACAGTGACCACACCACCTTCCTGCAACACCTTCCACTTGGCTCTCCATGCTTCCTCTGCCCTCCCTAGCTGCTCAGACTCAGTGGCTGTTTCCTTCACCTCTGGCAGCCTCTGAACACCTGCATGTGCCAGCCTTGGTTCTGAGTCTCTTTTATGCCTATCCACACTCATTCTCCTGGAGTGGGTTCGTCCAGTCCTATGGCTCTAAATGACCCTGCTCTGACAAATCCCAAGTTCTTCCCAGCCCAGGCCTCTCCCCTTGCCTCCAGACTATATGCTCAATATCTGCACTCAGAACTCTATCAAACACTTCTCACTAAACCTGCTCCTCCTCAAGGCATCTCTAGCTCACAAAATCCATCCAGTTGCTCAAATCAAAAAGGAGCTAACCTTGATTAATCCATTTCTCTCACTCTCACAACTATTCCATCAACAGGTATTCTGGGCTCCCCTCCAAAATATAAGCCCACTCAGACCATGACATCATTTCATCTCTCACCTGGCCTAGTAGGCTCCTGACCAGGGTACCTGTTTCTATTCTGTATCCTTCCCACTTCAAACCATTCTCCTCCCAGTAGCTGTGTAACTGATTTAAGATAGGAATGCAACTGTGTCATTGCTACTGCATTTGGAATAAGATCTGAATGTTATCGGTCCCCACAAGGTCAATGACCCTTGCCTGCCACTCCAACCTCATGTCACACTCTCCCCTCCCTCACCACCCTCCAGCCCCACTAGCCTTCTGCTTGAACAGTCTGCACTTTGGTTAAAAGCTCTTCCTAGCTCTCCCAATAGCTAGTTCCTTTTCATTTTTCAGATGTCCCTGCTGGCACAGTGGCTCACACCTATAATCCCAGCACTTTGGGAGGCCAAGGTGGGAGGAATGCTTGAGCTCAGAAGTTTGAGGGTGCAATGAGCTATGATCATGCCACTGTACCCTAGCCTGGGTGAGAATAAGACCTATCTCTTAAAAAGATCTCTCTTCGGGCCGGGTGCGGTGGCTCAAGCCTGTAATCCCAGCACTTTGGGAGGCCGAGGCGGGTGGATCACGAGGTCAAGAGATCGAGACCATCCTGGTCAACATGGTGAAACCCCGTCTCTACTAAAAATACAAAAAAATTAGCTGGGCATGGTGGCGCGTGCCTGTAGTCCCAGCTACTCAGGAGGCTGAGGCAGGAGAATTGCCTGAACCCAGGAGGCGGAGGTTGCGGTGAGCCGAGATCGCGCCATTGCACTCCAGCCTGGGTAACAAGAGCAAAACCCTCTCAAAAAAAAAAAAAAAAAGATCTCTCTTCCTTAGATACACCATTCCAGCCCAACCTAAATAAAGTAACCCACCTATCCCAGTTCCCATCTTTCATGGCCTACAACTTTCACGGTTCTACAACTTTCATAAGTTGTAGAACGTATAACTACCTAAAATTACCTTGATAACATATACGACTACTATTTGTTGTCTGTGACCCTTAGTGTTATGTTCTGTATCCTTAATGCCTAGACTACTATGTGGCACTTAGTGTTTGATAAATAAATTTTGACAGAATATTTAAAAAAGGTTGTCACTATACCTAAGCTAAGAATGAGGATGGCCACTTGCCAATGACGGCACTGAGGTGCAAGACTAAGGAGAGAACACTTAAACCTGTTATTCAGGGACATTTGGTTAAACCTCATAAAGAGACTTCCTTCTACTCTGTAATGTGTGATATTAAAAAAAAAAAGAAATAGAATATCAGCTGGACGCGGTGGCTCATGCCTGTAATCCCAGCACTTTGGGAGGCCGAGGCAGGCAGATCACGAGGTCAGGAGTTTGAGACCAGCCTGTCCAGCGTGGTGAAACTCCATCTCTATTAAAAATAAAAAAAATTAGTCAGGCATGGTGGCGCACACCTGTAATCCCAGCTACTCAGGAGGCTGGGGCAGGAGAATCACTTGAATCCGGGAAGCGGAGGTTGCAGTGAGCCAAGATCAAGCCACTGCACTCCAGCCTGGGCAACAGAGCGAGACTCCATCTCATTATATATATACATATATGTATGTATGCGCACACACACACACATACATACAGGTGTTCACATACACATACACAAACACACACTTTTTTTCCAAAAATCCTTATCAGACAGCCAAATATAAATTTCAAAACAGAAATTTAAATTACTAGTTTTGATAACTTCTTTAAAGTTTCGCCAAACTTAGCTCAGAAACAGCTAACAAAACCATGTTAGTTGTGGATTTTTTTAAATTACCAAGATAGCACAGATAAAAACCTACAGTCTTTTTAAGATTTAACAATTCTACCAGAATTATCTGAGAGGCATTTTTAGAGTTCCTTCCTGGAGAATAAAATCCAACATACACTAAGATGCCAAATATATCGGCAACATTCTTTGACACTGAAAAACTGGAATTCCACTAGTTAGCTTGTACCTGGTTATGCAGCTAGTTGGTACCCTTATAAGATTGCCCAACACTATCTGTTTACATATAATAATTATACAGACACTCAGAAATTAAACATATACATTTACATTTATAATAATTACATACACCTTTAGAAATTAAACAGTGCAATCTGTATCTTTAAGATAGTCGCACTTTCAAAATAAGGATAAATTAAACCATAAAGATTCCTGTTTTTTAAGAAGCAAAAATACATTTAAATATGTAACTCCTCCATACCCTTGATCGTATATTTTAAATTACAATGAACATAAAAAGCAAGTACAGCAGCTACTATATAACAAAATTAATGTCAAATGAAATACAATAGTATAAAATCTCACCAACCAGCTAGCTGGTAAGTCTGACTTTGCGAATGTCTGCACTGAAGTGCATATGGTAACGTTAGTACACCACCGCCTAGCAGGAGGGGAGTACTAAGCTAAGCTGAAGTGGGATCAGGAAGGCTTGCATGGAAAGCAGGAGCCACCCGAACAAAGGAAAGTGTTTCTTTTTGGTTTTTTTTTTTTTTTTTTTTTTTTAAAAATGAAAACCAGACAAGGTAAAGGTCCCCCTATCTCAAGTATCTCACCATCTGGTCAAGGAGGCAATAAAGAGGAATTAAATGACAATATAGACAAAAATACAGGATTTCCTGATCCAGCCAACCAATGGCACAGACTAAGTTCAGAGACAAAAAATAGCTAAGATTTCATACAAAATAGGCTTGATTTGGATCTGAAATACAACCACCAGCAGGCATCCAACAAAGCCTTGTGCTGTTCTTCCTCTCTCCCACCCTCTCTGCCAGACACCATATTTTAGAAGATTCTATCAATTAATTAAATGATAAAGGTATACTCCTATTTTAGGTAAAGACACAAACAAGGATCAGTATGAGAGAAGGTACTGACTATGTAATTTGAAAATAAAAGGCACTAAGGCATTTTAACTAGTCCATTTTATTCTGAATAAACATAAGGTTTCTCTAAGACTTCTTCTTTTTCTATTTTTTTTTTTGAGACAGAGTCTTGCTCTGCTGCACGAGCTGGAGTGCAGTGGTGCGATCTCAGCTCACTGCAACCCCCACCTCCCAGGCTGAAGCGCTTACTGGCCTCCTGAGTAGCTGGGATTACAGGTGTGCACCACCATGACTGGTTAAATTTTGTATTTTTCGTAGAGACGGGGTTTCACCTTGTTAGCCAGGCTGGTCGTGGACTCGAACTCCTTTTAGTGATAGAAATACATCGTTTCCTCTGTTCCCTTGGAGATGTGACAGCCTCAGGATGGGGCCCAGGAAAGCTTGCTAGATATGGCAGTGACTCAGGTAAATGGAACACCACCCATTGTAAATACGGCACCCAAATGGAGTACAAATGCACTGTTTAATTTTTTTTTTTTAAGAGACAGGGTCTCACTCTGTCACCCAAGGTAGAGTGTAGTGGCACAATCACAGCTCACTGCAGCCTCAAACTCCTAGGCTTAAGCAATCCTCCCACTCCGGCCTTCCAAGTAGCTGGGACAACAGGTGTACACAGCTAGGTTTTTAAATTTTTATTCTGTAGAGATGAAGTCTCACTATGTTGCCCAGGCTGGTCTCAAACTCCTGTCCTTAAGCAATCCTCCCACTCAGGCCTCCCAAAGCAGCCTCCCAAAGTGCTGGGGTTACAGATGTGAGCCACTATACCCCACTCTGATACACTTTACAAGCACATCATCGATACAGAGAATAAGGGATTCCAACCCAATAAATGTGCAAACCTTGTCTTTCAGCATTCAATTCTAATGAGCACAAACTAACTACTCTGACCAAAAACAGGTGACTAACTCTTCTAAGGTGTTATTTTACCAGCTCCTACAAAACAAGAAATTGTTGAGTCACAAAAATTTACAATCTGCTTTAAAATATCTAGTTTATGACCACTTATTTAAATGATTTTATAAATCCCAGTCACAAAAATGAACTGATCCCTTTACTTCACAAGCCAAAAATGCCAAACTATTTTATCATTTAAAAAAAAGGCTGAAGGGCCTGGCCAACAGAGAGACCTTGTCTCCAAAAAAAGACTAAGAAATCAAACAGACACAAGATGAAGTAGAACATTAGTTCATACTCTAGAACTTTCCAAAAACTCTCCTTAACAAAAAGAAAGCTGTTTTAAAATGAACTACATACCTCTCTTTTTTTTTAAGACATAGTCTCACTCTGTCACTCAGTGGTATGACTGCCTTGAGACCTGAGCTCAGGGGATCCTCTGCCTCATCCTCCCAAGTAACTGGGACTACAAGTGCATGCCAACACGTACAGCTTTTTCAGATTTTTTTTCCTTTTTTTTTTTCTGAGACAAAGTCTCTCTCTTCCCCCCGCCAGACTAAAGTGCAATGGCGCAATCTCGACCCACTACAACCTCTGCTTCCCAGGTTCAAGTGATTCTCTTGCCTCAGTCTCCCAAGTAGCTGGGATTACAGGTGCCTGCCACCAGCCAGATAATATTTGTATTTTTAGTAGAGACAGGGTTTCAACACGTTGGCTAGGCCGGTCTCAAACTCCTGACCTCAGATGATCCGCCTGCCTCAGCCTCCCAAAGTGCCGGGATTATAGGCATGAGCCACCACACCCAGCCAGTTTTTCTTTTGTAGAAATGGTCTTGCTATGTGTGTCAGGCTGGTTTTGAACTCCTGGCCTTAAGCAATCCTCCCACCTCAGCCTCAAGAGGTGTTGGGATTAGAGGTGTGAGCCACAGCGCCCAGCCTGTATGCCTCTCTTACTGGGAAAGACCAATGATATCTCATTCTACTTCTCTTTCGCTTACTATTGTTCAGCAAGTAGCTTTTAATTAGCTACCTTACAAATGCCATGCATATTACCTTTACCCTTAATGATATCTAAATGAAAGAAAAACTATGTTACAGAGTGAATTTCTGGAAAGTCATGACTCCTGGAAGAATGACCAATCTTATGCAGTCATCATCCTCATGAGTGGCAGGTGCAGTAAAGCTCAGGTATCCCCCAAAACCCCAAAGCACTGAGGGCTCCTCCAACCTTTGGCTCACAGAGATACTTAAGCACTTGAACAACGTAAAATCTCACTGCCAAGTCTGGTACCAAGGCGAGAAGTAATTCTATAGTCACTTTAAATAAATCATTCAGATAGCAACGAAGAACAATGTGTTGCCTAAACCAGTAACATGATACACATAAAAGCAGACTTAGAACAATTACCATCATCTTGATTAATCTTGTGATTGAAATGTTTAATCATTCATTTCACTTGTAATCATTATCTTTTATCACGGACCAAACATGCAGTTTTAATGTCCCCTTCTATTATTTATATTGGACATTTTAGGGTTACAATCTAAAGTTACATTATACATTTCATTGGAATTTTAAATAAGTCCTTAAATTTTAAAAAGCTAACCACTATATTCACATCTGCCCTATTTGCATAAAGAAACACTAGAAGGATTCATACAAAATTAATACAAGCAGTTACTTATGTGGTGGGATACAAGGGTGACAAGGAAGGAATGGGGTGGGCCTTCTGAATGGACACCTCTCTATAATGTTTGGCATTTTGAGTCATCTGAGTATAATACCTATTCAAAGCAAACTTACCTATACAGAAACTGCCTGAACATTTTATCACCTACTACACAAATGAATTATCCTGTCAGAATTCTGTGTTTTTCAGTTTACATAAAAAAAGGCATACAGACCAACACAGTTGACATTATTTTTATAATTATATAAAATTAATGTCGACTATATTGGCTAACATGTACTCTGAACTCATCAATTCTTGTTTTAAAAAATAAGACTTTGATTTTTCATTTGTTTTTTAAATCTTAAGGACTCAGGCTTTGGAATACAAGGTGCATCTCCCCTCCCCATAATCCATTTCTGAGACTCTCCACATATATTTTGGCCTTGTTGCCTAAACCAGTACTAAGTCCTGAATAATAACTTTAATATGCTAAATTAATTGAGTTAATTCACAGTCACAACTACTGCTTTCCTAGTAGGTATCCACTGTCAAGAGACAGTTTTGTGTAGGCACACACAAAACCAGAGTGAAAAACACAAGGGGTATGGAAGAGACTGACTGGCTTCCCTCTCCCTCTGCATTCTCAACAGGTTAGAAAGACTTTCACCCTCATCTAAACCAATATAGTAACTTCCTGTTCCCTGGTCCCAGCAGCCTTTACATACCCTTTCTTATTTTCCACAGCACACCTAGGTTTTTAATAACGTAACTTCTGTTACTATTTTAAATGTCTTAAAACCACAGTTACCCATAGGGAACTAACTCTTCTGCCTGTGCACTCCAAAACTCCAGCCCACAGCTACCTTGGCATTTGGTAGTCATGCCCGATACCCAAGGATGGTCGAGGAAAAGTATACATAAGGAATGCAAAATTGGCCAGGCACAGTGATTCCCAGCACTTTGGGAGGCTGAGGTGGATCACCTGAGGTCAGGAGTTCGAGACCAGCCCGACCAACATGGATAAACTCTGTCTCTAAAAAATACAAAAGTAGCCAGGCGTGGTGGCATGCGCCTGTGATCCCAGCTACTCGGGAGGCTGAGGCAGGAGAATCGCTTGAACCCAGGCGGTAGATGTTGCAACAATCCGAGACTGCGCCACTGCACTCCACCATAGACGACAGAACAAGACTCCGTTTCAAAAAAAAAAAAAAAAGAGAAATGCAAAATTGTTTTAAAATTTTTAAGAATAATTTGCAAAAATAGGCCTGGCGTGGTGGCTCATGCCTATAACCCCAGCACTTTGGGAGGCTGAGGTGGGCGTCACCTGAGGTTGGGAGTTCTGAGACCAGCCTGAAAAACATGGAGAAATCCCATCTCTACTAGTAATACAGTATTAGCCGGGCATGTGGCACATGCCTGTAATCCCAGCTACTTAGGAGGCTAAGGCAGGAGAATTGCTGGAACCCAGAAGGCAGAGGTTGTGGTGAGCCGAGATCGTGCCATTACACTCCAGCTTGGGCAACAAGAGGAAAACTCCTGTCTCAAAAAAAAAAGAATTTGCAAAAATAACAGATCCCACACCAATTATAGATATTTGGAATTCCACACCACGCCTTCCTTATACTAGTTAATAAAATCTAATCTTTCATTGGTGCTATTTGTTTTGTTTTGTTTTGTTTTTTGGTGGAGTCTCGCTCTGTCACCCAAGCTGGAGTACAGTGGCACGATCTGGGCTCACTGCAACCTCCGCCTCCTGGGTTCAAATGATTCTCCTGCCTCAGCCTCCCACATAGCTGAGATTACAGATGCCCACCACCACGCCCAGCTAATTTTTGCATTTTAGTAGAGACAGGGTTTCACTATCTTGGCCAGGCTGGTCTCAAACTCTTGAACTCAGGTGATCCGCCCGCCTCAGCCTTCCAAAGTGCAAAGATTACAGGCATGAGCTACCACACCCAGCCCTAATCTAACCCATAAATCACAAATCAGAATTAAATTCACAAAAGACATGACACTGAAATATAAATACCTTCACAAATGAAACCTCTGGGTGTTCTTTAGCTAACTCTGCCATAACTTCGTTCATCTGTGCACATTGTGGAGCCCATGGTGCCCAGAAATGGACCACAAGGAGGGACCTGTAAATCAATTAAATGCATTGATTTAAAATTATACCAATTTTGGAAACAAACAAATACTGATATAAATTACGAGAAAGGAAAAAAAACCTTTAAAAGAACTACCTGAATTTTTTCGTACTGCTAGAATTTTGCTGTATATAACATTGGAATACAAAAGGACTCTGCAAGTCTTGAGACTCTTTCAGATAAATTTTCAAGTCAATGATATTTCAAGTCAAGCCCATATGAAGTAGATCTGAACATTCATCCACCTCAATTAAAAGTCATGTAAATCACTGTTGGTGGGAGTGTAAATTAGTTCAACCATCGTGGAAGACAGTGTGGTGATACCTTAAGGATCTAGAACCAGAAATACCATTTCACCCAGCAATCCCATTACTGGGTATGTACCCAAAGGATTATAAATCATTCTACTATAAAGACACATGAACACATATGTTTACTGCAGCAGTATTTATAATAGCAAGGACTTGGAACCAACCCAAATGCCCATCAATGATAGACTGGATAAAGAAAATATGGCACATATATACCATGGAATACTATGCAGACATAAAAAGGAATGAGTTCATGTCCTTTGCAGGGGCATGGAAGAAGCCAGAAGCCACCATTCTCAGCAAACTAACCCAGGAACAGAAAACCACATTTTCTCACTCATGTGTTGAGCAATGAGAACACACAGACACAAAAGGGGGAACATCACAAACCCGGGTCTGTCAGGGAGTTGGAGTAAGGGGAGGGAAAGCATTAGGACAAATACCTAATGCTTGTAGGGCTCAAAACCTAGATAACAGGTTGATAGTTGCAGCAAACCACCATGGACATGTATACCTATGTAACAAACCTGCATGTTCTGCACATGTATCCCAGGACTTAAAGTAAAAGAAAAAAAGAAAAAAAAAAAAAGCCAGGTAAATCAACCATATTTTCAGACCCCTGAGGAAAGTGGAAACTGAATTTCTGTATTAAATGGCACAATGTTTGTGAAAAATGATTGTAGACACATTACTAGTAATATAATTGTTTACTTTTTAAATGTGGTATAGTGATGAAGAAACATAACCCTGACCATAGAAACAGCAATAAATGTTGATGAAGGCATGCCAGTGGGAAACACGAAAAAGAACAGAACTGCTTTTTACAAACACATTCTTTTATACTTTTTTTTTTGAGATACCCAGGCTGGAGTGCAATGGCGTGATCTCGGCTCACCGCAACCTCCACCTCCTGGGTTCAGGCAATTCTCCTGCCTCAGCCTCCTGAGTACCTGGGATTACAGGCACGTGCCACCATGCCCAGCTAATTTTTTGTATTTTTAGTAGAGACGGGGTTTCACCATGTTGACCAGGATGGTCTTGATCTCTTGACCTCGTGATCCACCCGCCTCGGCCTCCCAAAGTGCTGGGATTACAGGCTTGAGCCACCGCGCCCGGCCTATACTTTTTAATATTATGCTACAAAAGATTTTTCTAGGCCAGGCACAGCGGCTCATGCCTATAATCCTAGCACTTTGGGAGGCCGAGGCGGGTAGATCACTTGAGGTCAGCTGTTCGAGACCAGTCTGGCTAACATGGTGAAACCCCATCTCTATTAAAAATACAAAAAATTAGCCAGGTGTGTTGATGCACACTTGTAATCCCATCTACTCAGGAGGCTGAGGCTCAATCATTTGAGCCCGGGAGGCAGAGGCTGCAGTAAGCTGAGATCACACTACTGCACTGTAGCCTAGGCAGCAGAACAAGACTCCATCTAAAAAAAAAAAAAAAAAAAAAAAATTCTCTAGGCCAGGCAAGGTGGCTCATGCCTGTAGTCAGCATTTCAGGAGGTTGAGGTAGGAGGATCATTTGAGCCCGGGAGGTCGAGGTTGAGCCATGATTTTACCACTATACTCCACTGTGGGTAACAAAGCCAGACCCATTTTTAAAAAAAAATTCTGAATATTTATAGTATGAACACACAGAATAGTAGAGTAATAATTTGTATCTATTTTAGTTAATTTTCATACAAAATGTTCTTGGCAAAAACATCTATGGGTATATCCAACTGAAAAATCCTTCAGTTTTATAGAATTCTGTTCAAATATACCACCTCCTAAAAAACTCTGAAAAATCACGAACAGAGTATGTTCCATGGTGAAACATGGAACCAAGGACAACTAACCTGGGGGTAAAGAAAGGAGTAACTGTAAAAATCAATCAAATAATACCCGTGAGAAAGAAATAAGCTTACAATAAAGCGTCAGGAAAGCAGAAGCAAAGAGAAGCATTAGGATTTCGAAGGTAGAAGTGGCAGGATTTGGTGACAGATGAGGTACCATCTACAGCTGGCTCCAAGCTCTGGCTTACGGGCTGATGGTGAGTGGTGGCACTATGTCTCAAATCATAGTGCAGAAGCGGCCAACCTGAGGGAAGGAAGTTTAAAAGGCTGTTTGTACGACATCTAGAGTTCAGGGAAGTCTGCACTTGATATGCAGATTTGGGAATCAAGAAAGGAGCAGTGCCAGCACCACAATGCAAAGAGATACAGAGGGGCACAGAAGAGACCCGAGGTCAGCGACTCAGGGGCTTATCAATAACAAATTAGGACAGATGGAGGAGAAGGAACTCATGTAGTAAAGCAGAGACGGGGTCCAAAACGGTACTGGAAGATTAAAGGGTCTCACAGGAGTCAAGAGAAGAGCATCAAGAGGGAGTGACAATCATCCAATGCAGCGGGAAAGGAAACTAACAGAGTAACTTCAGTGAAATAATGGAAGCACAGGTCAGACTGCAGTCCACTGAGAACGGAAGTGAAGATGAGGAAGCAGAGATCCACTCTAAGAGATCTGTACAGGCAGAGGAAAAGACAAAATCAAGGAATGGCATTTTTAATATAAGAATATTTTCATGTTTTCTTCGCCTGGGGATAGTGCAAATGGAAAGGGAAACGCTGTAGACACAAGACAGCTGAGGACGCAAGGACTCAGAAGGGGTAAGGAGAGGGGAAATCCAGAGCAGAGAACAGCTTACCTTGCAGAAGAAGGGCAGTCTCCTCTGAGTCAGGAGCCAAGGAATTAAGAATGAGTAAGGCTATGAATAAATGGTATGTGTTGGGAGAGGTGGGAGTGGAAGGAGGGCTCAGGGAGAAGTCCTGTTTTATCTCAGGTGGGAAGCAAAGTCATTTGCTGAAACATAGGAAAACAGAGGGCAGAGACCACTGGTAGGACTGATGAAGGGCACACAAAAGGAAAGCAGGAAGCTCCAAAGACAGACCCACCTAAGGCAGGGAAGGACACATATAGGGGCCCCCTAGCCACTGGGTGTTAATCTGCATCCCACACAACGCAGCAGCTTCAATGGTTGAGTAGGTGGGTGGGGCCTCAGGTCCAAGGCAGAGAGACTACACTGTTTCAATCAAGCACTGTTTCATCTTCCCCTGTGCATTCAGCTAGATTACATTTTTCAGTCTATCTTGCAGTTTTCTGGGGCCCTGGAACTGAATTCTGGCCCTAGAACTAGAGCAAAGGCCTGATCCCCTCAAAACCCTCCCTCAGGAGCCTCTGTCCACTATAGCCTCCAGCAATGAAGAGGATCCAGGGAAGCTCCATGGCCTAAGAATGGCGAGAACAAAAACAGAGGTTTCACAGTGGCCTCATGCGAGAATGCTCACAGCAGCCCTACAGACAATAACCCAAAACTGGAAATTAGCCAAATGTCCGCAAATGGGAGAAAGTTATAGATATTCATATAACGGAATATAACTTAGCAGTAAAATGAAACCAACTACAAACATAAGCAATGACACGGATGAAGCTCAAAAATATGTGAGCAAAAGATGCCACAAACATGAAAAAGGACTGTATGATTCCTCTCACACAAAGTCCAAGAGCAGGGAAAACTCATCTACAGTGACAGTAAGAGATCAGTAGTTAAGGGAAAGGGGATAGAAAACTTCCTGGGGTTCTACATTCTTCCTGTGAATGGTGGTTACTGGTGTGCATACAACTGTCAAAATTAATCAATCTGACGATTAAGATCTGTGCATTTTGTTACTGCCTTTTGTTGGTGCATTTTTTTTTTTTTTTTTTTTTTTTTTTGAGACGGGGTCTTACTCTAATGCTCAGGCTGGAGTGCAGTGGCGTGATCACAGCTCACTGCCGCCTCAACTTCCTGGGCTCAGGTGATCCTCCCACCTCAGCCTCCCAGACTACAGGTATACGCCACCAAACCCAGCTATTATTTTCTGAGTTTGTTTTGCTTTGTTCTTTGTAACGATGGGGTTTCGCCAGGCTGGTCTCAAACTCCTGGGCTCAAGCAATCCACCTGCCTTGGCCTCCCAAAGTGCTGCAATCACAGGCATGAGCCACTGTCCCCAGCCAATAAGAGGATTGTTTAAATCATAATATTCAATGATAAAAAGGATGGCAAGAAGTACTTTCATACCCTGTTGGTAAAAATTAAATTGAGATCTTTCAGAAATTTCTTACACATAAGTATCAATCCTAAGGAAGTAACTAAGAGACAATATTTTCCCACTATTTTACGTAGCAAATAACTAGAAAATTCTGATGCTCAACAATACAGTTTTTAAATGGTCATAAGAAAATACTATAAAGCGCCGGGCGCGGTGGCTCAAGCCTGTAATCCCAGCACTTTGGGAGGCCGAGGCGGGTGGATCACGAGGTCGAGAGATCGAGACCATCCTGGTCAACACGGTGAAACCCCGCCTCTACTAAAAAATACAAAAAATTAGCTGGGCATGGTGGCACGTGCCTGTAATCCCAGGTACTCAGGAGGCTGAGGCAGGAGAATTGCCTGAACCCGGGAGGCGGAGGTTGCGGTGAGCCGAGATCACGCCATTGCACTCCAGCCTGGGTAACAAGAGCGAAACTCTGTCTCAAAAAAAAAAAAAAAAAGAAAAAGAAAATACTATAAAGCCATTACAAATCAAATTTTCAAAGAACTTTTAATGCCACAGGAAAATACTCATAATATAACTACATTTTTCAAAACTTAAAG